TCTGGAACATGAGGATGGAACAAGTCCCATCAGACTGAGGGGAACAAAGGAAGGGAGAGAGGAAACTGTCAAGGGAAGTTCAAGCCTCGGATCAAGAACGACCAGTGAAGCGAGAATATTTTGCTTAAACCAAAATGATAATCTCGTTGGAATGTTCCAATGACGGTGCAGCGCTCAGGGTTGATCGGGGCTCCTGTAACCTGCAAGAAATCGGTTAGTCCACATCCACATAAAAAGAGACTGGAACCGACTACAGACACAACCTCAAGTCTCTCTTGGCCCACCGTATGGGAGGAACAAATAGCATGTTTTCATCTAGTCCAAAATAATTGGGTTCACTGCACTACTCCCAACCCCAGAGATAGATCCTGAGCCCAAGTCGGGAAAGTCGGTCTGAGGCAGAATTGAGGGTGCCGCCGACAGGGTGCCGCCGGTAATGAGCCCTCTGATCCCATGGAATAGTGCTCGAACTCTCAGTGTCTGAGGCAGAATTGAGGGCCAATCGTGGCCACTGTTCACGATCTAGTTTCACCATGAGTCGACCTTGCCACCTGTTTCTCCTCAGGAAACAAAACCCCAGCGATCAAACTCTGTTCCCGGCCAACCGAGTTACCCGGCCGTGTCTCGGACAAAATTCTCTCTTTCACTGAGGCGTACGTGGTCCGACGTCTCTGTCTGTCTGTTCCCGGTCGCTCAATCCCGGCTTGATCCGAAAATCCTGGCCTGACCAGAAAGTCTCGACCTGGCCCCCCGTAGCCCTTATGTCCCTGGCTGTTCGCTGGTCATGAAAATCCCGGCCCAATTGTAGGGTCCCACTGTGCCCAAGTGTCACATCGTGGCCCTAGTATCTCGAATCACGTCCCTCGGCCGTACTCTAAGTCCTGGCCTAGGTCCGAGGTCCCGGTCCGAGCCCGAGGTTTCGATCTAGTCCGAGGTCCCGATCTTGCTCAAAACTCCAGCCTTGCCCGAAAGTCCTAGTCCGGCCCAAAGTCCTGGTCCTGCTGAAAGTTCCAGTCTGGGTCCAATGCGCCGTTCCACGGCCCAAATCTCGGTTTGGGTCAAAGTCCTGTTTGTGCCCGAAAAGCCCCGTCCGTTGGGTGTCCCACTAGTGCACGTGTGCACGCGCGCCTGAAGGCTGCTGGATCCTGATTGCTCGGGCTACAATCTCAACCTGCGAAGGCTACGGTCACTGTTAGTAAAAGAAAGATATAGAGAAAAAGAAAAAAAAAAGGAAAGTGAGGGGTTGAGCGCGGAGCCTCAGATCCGTTTCTGGACCTGGATCGTTGCCTTTGAGTTATGGAGTCTGGAGGGCTTCAGTGATGCTGAAACGCGGAAGAACTCTGAGGGGTCGTTTCTCTCTTTCTAGTAATATTACTATTATTATTGTTGCCTATTTCTCCTATTTTACTGCTTGTCCTGTCGCTTTGTAAGGAATTAACGGTTCATTTTCGAACCGTGATTACAGACTGGCGGCCTAGAATGGCCTCATCGTCCGCGCCTCCGTTGTCCCTGGCGCAGGACCCCAAAAGAAGGGCAACCCACGGCCACTTCGGTAGGAGGCTTATCACCCCCCGTGGAATGTCATAAGGCCCCTCCTTGCCATCAGAAACGGGTACCCTTTAGTGGTAGCCCGACAACTCGTTGTAGAGGAGAGAGGTTGTTGGTTGGTATCCCGTTATGGGACCGCCACTTTAGGGTGGCAGTCATTCCACAGCAAGACAATCTGACAGGGACCGATAGCTGAATGCCTTGTTGGTGCTACGGTCGTTGGGGTCCTGTCCCTCATTATTTTTATTTTAATTTATTTTATTCTTGTTTTTGTTTTATTTTATTCTACCAAGTAACGGAACCACGAGAGACGGATAACGGGGGCCCAAATATTCGCCGTTTTCGTTGGCAATCGCGGTGCGAATTTCATCAAAATTTTTAAAAACAAACGATATGACACCATAGTGCAAACATCAAAAAAGGAAACAGGCCAAAAAAAACGAAAAAAAAAACAAAAAGACACTATGAAACCCTAGCACAAAGACACTGTCCGAGTCAAAATGAAGCGTCCAACGAATTCAACAAAATGCCAACTTTTTCATTATTGATCCAAACATGTAAAAACTGCACACATGACGTACCCTAAGGCTAGGAAGATTTTCATGACCGGCCGGTCTGGACCGGCCGGTCACCCGGGCGTGACGCCCGGGGGGGTCTGACGCCCGGGTGACCCGGTCATGGCAAAAAAAAAAAAAAAAAAAAAAAAAAAAAAGACGGTGTAGTTTTTCCGCGCTCTCCGAGAGGAGCCCAAATCCTGTCTCTTATACACATCTAGATGTGTATAAGAGACAGCCCTAAAGCACATATATATCTGTCTCTTATACACATCTAGATGTGTATAAGATTTTGCGCTGAGACTGCCCGGGGTCATGCCCGGCCGGTCACCCGGTCGCCAATCCGGGCGTGACATCGGGACCCGGGCGCCCGGGATATCTCCCTAGCCCTAAAGCACATATATATCACACAAAAAGAAAAACAAGAAAAAAAGCAAAAAATCAGCACAATATGACATTTTCAGTGCAATTCGGTGCAAAATTCGTCGAAAATAACACCCCTGGTTAACCACGTGTGTGGAGGGCTGGCATCTGGCTAACTGGGCATGAGCAGTCTCACACTGCTTGTTGTCGAGCTGAGAAGAGGGGTGAGCGGTAGTGTGGGCGTGAGGCAGCCCTGTTTGTGTGTGCATGTGCTAAGTGTTCGGTCCTGGTTGTCTTGGATTTCTGCGGTTTGGCACCGGCGTGTAAACCAACCGAAGGGGGCGCGACCATGGTACGGAGTAGTGGGCTGCACGGCTATAGGCCGAAATACCTCCAGTTTATCTGGAGGTGGGAGCAGATGTCGGGGGAGGGACCTGCAGTGACAGCCATTCTAGACTATAGCCGTTGCAATCAAGAGGCAAGGCTGAAGATCAACATTGAAGGGGGGAAAGAAGCAGAGATGAGAGCAGACCAGAGACTGAGTTGGCCATCAGGCCAAGGACCGGGCTGAGAGGAGGTGCAGGAGAGACGGGGTCACTGATGAACTGAAGGTGACCGTTTCTTACCTGGCAGCAGAGAGTTTGACGGACACAGTAGAGCGGGAACAGAGGCACCTGGACCGTGACACGGAGGCGGAGAGCGAGGAGAGTGACCGGGAGGTCCGGACCCAGTCCTGGCATGGACTGGACCAGTAGCGGCAGGACCACCCCTCCGCTGAGCCTGTAGAGGACGGACCCGACGCCAGCTCAGAGAAGGTATTACTTGCTGCGCCTGCAACAGGCTGCACGGGCCAAAAGCCTGAAAACAAGGGCCTACAGGCCCTGTGTCGTTTCAGCCTGAAAGCCTGAAAACAAGGGCCTACAGGCCCTGTGTCGTTTCAGGCTAAATCAGGGCCTTTCCGGCCCTGAGTGTTTTCAGCCTGAAATTGAGGGCCATTTTCGGGCCCTCATCAGTTCGACCTGCCCTGAAACTCAGGCACCAAACCAGGGCTTTAGCACAGGCCATTTCGGGCCTGTTTTCAAGACAACCCCTGGTTGAGCTTCAATGCCAGGGTCTGGCACGTTTCGGCATTGGCAAGAGCAGCCTCCTGGACAGACCAGCACTATATAGGACTGGCCCGCCCTGCAGGCAGGAGGTAGGTCCTAGGTACTTCCCAGGCACTTCCCGTGCAGTTCAGGAGGCAGGAGGTAGTCTTCAGGATTCGGCAGCAGCACTCTGGAGGAGCGCTGCAGGAGTGGTAGCAGTGTTAGCAGTAGTCGTCACCGCTGGGCGCTAGTAGCGTTAGCTGTAGTCTTCAGAGCTGGGCGCCATAGCAGCTAGAGTAGTATTAGAGAGAGAGAGATTGGGCGGAGGCCAGAGGGACCTACCTGCAGCGCCGTTGCTCCAGCTTCGTCTTCAAGGTACCTGCAGCACAACGCCATCTTCACAGGTTAGTACCTGGCCTAGCATTCTGGTTCGCTATCTTGTACTACGTGAAAGAGGTCAGTCCCGGTCAGGTCAGGACTTGTATCTAAATCTTCCACTGCGCTATAAAACACCATTTTGTATCTATCGGGATGTACACTGCTTGTTGAGATTCTACTTGCACTGCATTGTCCATTCAGTCCTTTTCATCACATTGCGGATCCTTGGTTTATATGTACATCGCCCAACTGGGCATGTAACAGTTGGTATCGGAACACCGCACGTGAATCAGGACAACCTGATCTGACACGTGTGCGGGGACTAGGTAGCTGATTAGTCTTGATTGATTGATTAGGCACACTAGTTAGCCACCCAAATCACGATTTTGACCTCACTGCCAAAAATCGAAATTTTTTCCTTTTCTTGGATTTTGTTTTCCCGCTGTATCTGTTGTGGAAAATCACAATAGCACAACATCTGAAATTTCAGTTTTCATTTTCTGCTGAAAATCCGAAATTTCGTTGTTGGAAATCCGGAATATCTTTTTCTCGAAAATTTTGATCTCCTTTTGTAATTCCCTGTTATTTGGAAATTCGGAATATTTTTTCCCGAAATTCTTTGTTCTGAAAACGGTACAGGAAATCCCTCTTGCAGTACCATTTTCCAAACTGCGAATACTCTCATCTGAATAAGTCCGAATACTGGTTATTTCTTTTCAGAATTTTTTTTATTTCGCAGTTGTATGATTTTCACTACCTGATAACCATTGGCAGTCTGAAGTTCGAAAAAAAAAATTCTCATTGATAATTTCGCACTTCAAGGGAGGTTGGGAGACCTACTGAACTTGCAAAAAGACTTTTATTTTCTCGAATTTTATTTTTGCAAAGCTCAAACTTTTCTTTTTTTGATTAGTGGCTCCGTATCTGGGCGATTTATCCCACCCACCCCTTCCCACCTATGTTGTTGCCCCCTCTGGTCTTACCTTCTCTATCTGTCTCCGGGTACCCGCTGCGGCGGCATTCGTGAGTAGCCACGTCAGCGGACCACGTCAGCAGAACACGTCAGCCGACAGCAGTGCCACATCAGCAGCAGGGAGTACCACGTCAGCAGGCCCCCGGCCTAGTCTATGACCAGAAGTCCGGGGAAACGGACGAGGCCTATCAGGCCCGGATGCTGTTTCTGATTACCGAAGGTAAGCAACGGTCGGATGCAGTAGCAGCCGCAGCAAAGAAGAAGGCAGAGGACACCGAGAAGGCACGTCTGCTGGCAATTGAACAGCAGCGCCAGCACGACGAGGCAGCAGCAAAGGCTGCCGATGAAGAACGAGGTCATCCTCGCGAAAAGATATTCAGCGGAGAGCAAGCTTTGCTCACAATGGCAGCGGATTGGCGGGCCGAGGCCAAGAACGGCAAGATGGAAGACAGTGAAAACAATATCGCTCTACTCCTCTCCCATCTCACGGATCTCCTGGCAACATGCATTACACAGCAGGAGGACATCCACAGCCTCGACGACGCGTTGACTCAGGTCCACAGCCGCCTCTGGCATCTGGAGCAGCGACCCGTCACCGCCCCCGATGCCAGCTCTTCCAACACCTCCGATCGCCTCGAGGCATTGGAGATTGACGTCGGCTCCCTCGAGGACGGCGTGCAGTTACAGCAAACTGCAACGCAACAGTTGGAGCAGCGGGTCTGTACTACCGCCAACCACTCGAGCTCAGAACCGCGCGATGACAACTCCAAAGTTCGATGGGCAGGAGATCTTCTGCGACTTGATGAAGACAGACCCGATTCCATGGTTCCGCAAGTTCGAGCTCACGTTGCAGCTACACTATGTCAAAGAACACAAGCACCACAGGTACTTATACTCCCGGTCGGGGGGCGTGTGCCAAGCATGGTTGGACAATCTCTTGTCCAAGTACGGAGTGGTAGCAGCCAACTTGCATACCAAGATCAACAGGGATGATCTGAAGGCAGCGTGGCATAAGCGGTTCCAAGTAGAGCCGTCGGAGATCAAGGCAATGGACAAGCTGATGGTTTTCGAACAAGGCACGCTGCCGAGTGTTGACTGGGCTTCAACGCTTGACACCTGTACCAGACATCCAAATGGGCTTCAAAGCCATCAAACACTACTTCACCTCGAGGTCGTGTCTGTCCTTGGGCAATGCCTTGACTCACGTCGAGGACACCCTGACGACACCGGCAGAACTTTTTGACAAGGCCGTGCAGATTATTGTCACGAACAAGGAGGCCAAGAATCTCCCGCGTTCGTCTGCGCCAGGCTTGGGCAGAGATCAGCATCGACCGAAAGTGGCCGTGGTCACGGCGGCAACACCAAACGACCAAACTAGCGAGGCTATGTCTGCCAATGAAGGGGACAGACTCGCAGCCGCCCGAGAAGGTGGCCGAACCGACAAAGGCCGAGGACGCAGTAAGGCGAAGACAAACACCGCATCTAGCCCTGGGCCAGGCGCAGCTGCTCCAGCCCCATGGTCCCAGTACGGTATCTCCGAGCAAGCATACAAGGCATGCATATGTCCGAGCAAGCATACAAGGCACGCACGAGATTCTGCTATTGTCTTTGTTGTAACAGCGATCTCCACGACACAATGGCCTGCCAGACAAAAGGCAAGGGCAAATCGGGAAACTAAGCACCGCCGGGAGCGGCTCGACGACATTCTCGACGCCTTCGGAACCGGTCACTTCGCGAGTGACATCCCTTCGTTCCGAGGCACATGCGGAAGTCGATAGTCCTCCTCCTCTGTATTCTTTTGAGGACTATGCTGCCCGGCTCGTTCCTACACTGGGTACTCATGCTCAAGGACAAGATGTGTGTGCGACATCTTCTCCGTCCAGCAACGACAACTTATCGTCTTCAAGTGGTTCTTCAAAAGATTCGGCGCGCGAGTTCAACATAGAGGTATTGGACCCGCTCACGTCTGAGGATTTCGCATGGCTTCCTCTCCCGACCACAGGCCGCTTGCCGAAACCGCAATGCGCAACACTATGCGCTCATCTTCACACGTACTTATCCTTCTATGCACCACCAACTTCGCCGACGGATGACGAAGTCGCAGTGGGGCATATCCTTGCGTATGTTACCAAGGTAACCTTTATGTCCGCATCCAAGTTGGGCAAGCGTCCTTCAACGCTTTGTTGGATAGCGGCGCGTCTCGCAATTTTATGAGTCAAGCCTTTATGCAAAAGGCTGGCCTTGGTGCACAAGCTAGAAGGAAGGCAAACCCGACGGCGATCAAGTTGGCGAACGGAAGGAGGCAGCATTTTATTGACCGCTACATCGAGGTCGTACCGGTGTATTTCGCACCTCATGCATGCCAACCGGTGACGTTCGACATTTTGGACACGGACTTCAACATTATTTTGGGAATGCCTTGGCTTGCAAGTGCGGATCACACGGTCAACTTCCACCGGCGGACTCTTACCATTCACAACGCCTTCGACGCCGAAGTGTCGTGTACTATTCCTCTTCCGTACCCTCCGATTCGATGCCAAGTGATGATGGCAGAGTCATTCCGGGCTACTTGTGCTTACGAGCAGCCTGACGAAATCGGCCTATGTTTCCTACGGACTGTCGCGGTAGCCGACTCTTCACCCACGGACTTGTCTTCGAACCCCTGTGTGGTGTGGTTGCTTGATGAGCTCGCCGACATCTTCGAGTCACCTACCGGTGTGGCGCCGGATCGGCCGACCTCTCACGAGATCATTCTGGAGGCCGGTGCAGTGTCGCTGAAAGGTTGCATTTACCGCATGAGCGAGGAGGAGCTTACGGTCCTCGGCGCGCAACTTGATGATTTGTTGGACAAGGGTTGGATCCGCCCTAGTAGCTCTCCATACGGAGCGCCAGTTCTCTTCGTACGGAAGAAGAACAAAGATCTACGATTGTGCTTCGACTACCACAAACTCAACGCGCAAACCGTCAGGAATGCAGGGCCTCTTCCTCGCATCGACGATCCTCTTGAGCGATTGGGCGACGCAAAGTATTTTTCTAAGTTGGATTTGAAATCGGGATATCATCAAATCTCGATCCGACCAAACGATCGTTACAAATCCGCGTTCAAAACGCGGTATGGGCATTTTGAATGGATGGTCATGCCTTTTGGCCTCACCAACGCCCTGGTGACCTTTCAAGCGGCAATGAACAACGAGTTTCGTGCAATGTTGGACCGGTTCGTGTTGGTCTAGGCCAACCACGACAAGTGCGAATTTGTCCGGCAAGAGCTGGAATACTTGGGCCATTTTGTCACACCGAAGGGCATCAGTCCGCTATCGGACAAGATTCAAGCCATCCAAGAGTGGTCGGAGCCACAGAACGTCACGGATGTCCGTTTGTTCCTTGGCCTCGCCGGTTACTACCAGCGTTTTATCGAGGGCAACTCGAAGATCGCGGCCCACTTGACCAAGCTTCAATGCGAGGATCGGCCGTTTGACTTCGGAGAGGATGCGCGGGAATCATTTTTGGCTCTCAAAGCCGCGGCATTATCTGCGAAGGTCTTGCACATATATGACCCGCTTTTGCCTATGCGCGTCACTACGGATGCGTCTGGCTATGGCATTGGTGCTGTCCTCGAGCAACACGATGGCGTGGACTAGCACCCGGTCGAGTGTTTCAACAAGAAAGTGCCCGTCGTGCACTCCATTGACGATGCACCCAAGAAGGAGCCCCTCGCCTTCGTCCACTCGCTCAAGTGGTGGCGGCACTTCCTCCTTGGTCGAAGCAAATTCCGATGGGTAACGGACAACAATCTGTTGGTCTTTTACAAGACCCAAGACACCGTCAACAGCACCATCGCTTGATGGATGGCTTTCATTGACCAGTTGGACTTCTTTCCTGATCACATTCTGGGGAGGTTGAACCGTTTTCCGGATGCTCTTTCACGTCGTCCGGATCATTGTACCGCGGTCTATTCAACCTTCGAGATCGACAACGACCTGTGGGGCAGCTTCATCCGCGGCTACCAAGCCGACCCCGAGTTTCGCGACAAGTACACGAATTGCTCCTCTCCTAATCCGGCGCCTTCTCACTACCGGATCCAAGAGGGGTACTTGCTTGTCCACACACGGGGGAACGACCTTCTTTGCAAACCGAGTGAGCCTTACTTGCGTACACGGATTCTTAGCGAGTTCCACGATGCTCCCGCCACCAGACACTTTGGGAGTCAATCGCACGATTGGCCGACTTCGCGAGCGATTTTGGTTGTCCGGCCTTCTTGGCGACGTCACACGCTATTGCGAGACATTCAAGGTTTGCCGACGCTGAAAATCCCGCAACCATCATCCAAACGGCGAGTTGCGACCATTATTGGTCCCCTTGCGGCGAAGGGAAGCGATTGTCATGGACATTACCGGCCCGTTCCCCAAGCACAAGACCGGCGTGGATGGGATTCTCGCGGTGGTCGACCGACTCACCAAGTTCGCCATGTTCTTGCCTTGTCGCTATCATGCTAAGACACTGGAGTTGGCTGAGGTTCTTTACGCCGGTTGGATTCGAAACAAGGGTTACCCCAAGGAAATCGTCTGCGACCTCGACACTCGGTTCATGTCTGATTTTTCGTTGGCCCTCATCAAACGATGGGGCTCATCTCTCAAGCCAAGTTCGGCTCGCCACCTCCAAACCGATGGCCAAACGGAGAGGGCACATCAGACCGCAAAGGTTCTCCTTCACACTCTCATCCGCCCCGACCAGCAGGATTGGATTGAGCGGCTGCCGGATGTCGAGTTGGCCTACAACTCGTCCATCCACCCAGCTATCGGGATATCACCCTTCAAGTTCGAGCACGGCTCGCCGGTCACTTCGACACAATCATTCCACGAACGGTCGAGAGCGACCACCATCTTCGTTTCTTGCATCGGATCCAAGAGCTACTTGTCAAGGCACACGACCAAATGGCCAAGACGCAGCAGCGCATGAGCCAACAGGCCAATCGCTAGCGTCTTCCTTGCCCATTCCGCGCTGGCGATCTCGTTTGGGTTTCCGCCGCGGAATTTAGCCTTGAACAAGATATCTCTMGCAAGCTCCTCCCGAAATGGATGGGGCCCTGGCGGATCGTGGACCCGTTGGGGATGCACCCGAGGGACCTTCCTTCACTATTCAGGTGCCCGCCCACTTGCCCGTCTACCTAGTCTTTCGTTGCTCCATGTTGGGTCTCTACACGCCAGCGGAACATCACGATTTTCCCGGGCGACGTTCGCAAGACCCACCCTCTATGGACGGTTTTCAGGAGGTCGGCGACATCATCTCCCAGCGACGCTACAACAACAGGCCAACCAAGTACTTGGTACACTTGTGTGATGCACTCACAAAGCTGACCGTTGGTTGGACCCGTGCGGAACTCCAAGCAACAGCTCCGGATGTTCTCTCACGCTATGAACGAAAAATGCAAGGCAAGCCGCTATCTTCGGCTCCACGTCGCACCCACGTCCAGGTTCCACCTTCAAATCATCAACTTCGCCCTCGACCTGGCTTGACTTCATAAGTAGGGGGGGGTGTTACATGCTGCGCCTGCAACAGGCTGCACGGGCCATTCCCAGGCCCGTGACGTTTTCAGGCCAAAAGCCTGAAAACAAGGGCCTACAGGCTCTTTGTCGTTTCAGCCTGAAAGCCTGAAAACAAGGGCCTACAGCCCCTGTGTCATTTCAAGCTAAATCAGGGCCTTTTCGGCCCTGAGTGTTTTCAGCCTGAAACTGAGGGCCGGTTTCGGGCCCTCATCGGTTCGACCTGCCCTGAAACTCGGGCACCAAACCAGGGTTTTAGCACAGGCCATTTCGGGCTTGTTTTCAAGACAACCCCTGGTTGAGCTTCAACGCCAGGGTCTGGCACGTTTCAGCATTGGCAAGAGCAGCCTCCTGGAGGGCCAGCACTATATAGGACTGGCCCGCCCTGCAGGCAGGAGGTAGGTCCTAGGTACTTCCCAGCCACTTCACGTGTTGTTCAGGAGGCAGGAGGTAGTCTTCAGGATTCGGCCACAGCACTCTGGAGGAGCGCTACAAGAGTAGTAGGAGCGTTAGCAGTAGTCTTCGGCGCTGGGCGCTAGTAGCGTTAGCTGCAGTCTTCCGCGTTGGGCGCCATAGCAGCTAGAGTAGTATTAGAGAGAGAGATTGGGCGGAGGCCAGAGGGACTTACCTGCAGCGCCGTTGCTCCAGCTTCGTCTTCGAGGTACCTGCAGCACAGCGCCATCTTCACAGGTTAGTACCTGGCCTATGAGAGAGAGAGTTCTTCTTCTTTCTCTTCTCAGTCCACCATCTCCTTCTCACCCTCTCGCTATCTGACTTCACTGCATCAGCTAACTAAGAGAGAGAGAGAGAGAGAGAGAGAGAGAGAGGATGTATGTTTGGTCTACGTTGAAACATTAAGTGGGTTAGTCCATAGTATTCTAGCATTATGCTTCGCTATCTCGTACTACGTGAAAGAGGTCAGTCCCGATCAGGTCAGGACTTCAGATGAGCTCTGATGAGAAAAAGACTATCAGTGGTCTCTGATGAGCTCTGCAATAAGCGCCGAAGTCTCAAATGATTATTGATTGAGCACCGGCTCCGCCAGCGGTGTTCAGATGTAAAAGCATTCCGTCCCTTTTCTCTTGCAAAAAGACAAACCATGAAATAAAGAGAAATCACTGATAACATATTTGAACGCAATGGTCTGATGGGGGCGAGAACGGTGTGTTATGAGAAGGGTACCATTTATGCCCGCCAGAAATTCTGATGGATGGGGTTTAATTTCAGTACCATCGACCCTGAGTGGTTCGGCGAATGCAGAAGACCGGCGGGTGAAACTAAGAACTCGCAAGCGCTGAATTGCTTTAGTGATTAGAGATGTGACGGTACCAAGGAAAGGAAGCAATTTTCTCTTCTCATAGTAAGTTGATGACAAGGCTGTTTTCATTGGCTTGCGCCTGAGTGTCGCCCGAGCAAGGCTGTCGTCATGAATATCTCTACTTGCCCCTGAATCGGTTAGGGATTACCGGTGGAATTTTGTGCGTAACCGGGGTTTTGTTGTCGTTTAGTGGTGACCTGTGTATGTCCTTGACTGGAATCCAACCTCAGGGGTATGTCCTGTGGATAATTCGGTCGGGCCCGTAATCTGAGTGCTAATTCAGTATAGCAGTTGCCGTAAGCCCGCTGAGTCTTCTGAAATAACCCTCGGTCTTCGTCGTTCATTCTGATCATGGCCAATGAGTCGGAGGCAGTCAGCTATAAGGAAAGTCACTTACTCACTAGCCAAGTTTTTGCTTGATGGTGATTGAGTAATGATGACCTTCAGAAATTTGGCAAATATCCGAAGCCTGTCCCCCCCCCCGAACTGGAATAGGGTCAGCGGCAAACTGTGGCTGGGCTAACGACAACTCATGCCCTGTCCCCCCCCCCCGAACTGGAATAGGGTCAGCGGCAAACATTGGGTGGGCTAACGACAACTCATGACTCTGTTAAGGTAGTCGTTCCAACAAATGTTGCTTCTCAGGTTTCTGACCAGTTTCAATCTCATATGAGCCTTTTGGGAATCGAATTCGGACGAGTTGTCCACATACTGTCCCGTGTGGCGGAAGCGGCGCTAGTATGATATCTTATAAACAAGTTAATCTGTAAACGAGCTAGCGGATGGAGAAAATTAAATGAGGCTTAGCTCGAGTTTGCATTCTCTGTCGCTAAGTGTACTTTGACTCGGACTGACGGATCTGACAGTTGCATCTGATTGGGAAAAGGAAAGGGGTAGCTATGTGATTGGAAGTGTGAGCGGAATAAGTAAAATGTGGTCAGTCTCTAAGCAGTCATTCGGGTACTGAGAATCTATGAAAAATGTCCTGAGGCATGCTCTACAGGCTGAATTCGGTTGTGAAGCAAAACTGATGAGTTGCCTTGAGATTGGTAACTGTCTGACTCTCGGGGTAAATTCTTAGTATGACCCTTCTCATAGTCTGGGATTGAAAATCGACGATCAGAACCATTCGTCATTCACTTACCTTTAGACCGACATTGACTAGTCAGAACATGTTCAGGTTGACTCCAGCATCCTCTTCGGTACCTGAGCACTGACAAGTCTTCCTCAGTCATCTCAGGGGGTAACACCCCCCTGGCAGAGCCTCATTAAAAATGACACTGCGACCAGTGACTTGCATTGGTGTGGTTGCTTACCACCACGTGAGGCATAATCAGCCACTCACCACGATGCTTTCCGTCTATTATTCAGTTTGTGCGACACTCAGTTGGCACACTTGAACTCGAAAAGCAATACCTATCCCTCTGAGAAGCGACACAGTTGAAGTTTTCCAGTCTCTTGGCAGAGCCCAGGCGAATCTCTACGAAGCAAGTTGTCATTCGTGAGCAGAGAGTTATGGCCTAATGTGGCATACTGCGTAGCCACACAGGCCCTACAGAACCCGTCCCGGACATTCAGCCTAAAAGCCTAGAACTTAGGGCTTACAGGCCCCGTTCATTTCAGCCTGGATGCTGAAAAACGAGGGCCTGCAGGCCCTACCTCGTTTCAGCCTATTTCTGGGTCTTTTCAGACCCAGAGTTTTCAGCCTGAAACGGAGGGCCATTTTCAGGCCCTCATTGTTT